GGATAGGATGTTTGTTTGGGTCTGTTGTGTAGGTCAGATAGAGAAGAGACGTATTGTTGGGTTTGTGAGGTAGATAGAGATAGAGATGTATTGTTGGTCGTTGTAGGTCAGTGGTTAGTCTTGTAGGTCAGATAGTTTTCCACACACGCCCCACAAATTGTAGGTTTTGTAGTTTTTCTTTTTTTCTCCATTGGAGCCTGCAGTCGTTTGATTCGAAAATTAAACATGACCAATGCTTTTTTCAGTAAGGGCACTCACATAATTAGTGGGGCCCTTCCATAATGGTTGTTGTCCCAGGTTATATGGCTGTGCACAAGCTGGGGACGAGGTTAGTCGAATTGATTGAAAGTAACGCTGGCTTTTTAGACAGACCCCGTCCCTTTCCCCCCCCATATAATATTGCGTTTTGGTCTTTGGGGGTTGTTTAAAAGTCTTTAGGGAAGCGTTAATTAAAAAGGGGATGAGAAAGGGAGCCTAGTTCTAGGTTAAAAATGTTTGGGGGTGGAGAGCCATATATAGCAGAGAGGCCCTGGCGTCCTTAATTCAGTCCCAAAGGAAATAAGGGGTTTAGATTGAGAGAGAAAAAATGGTAAATAAATTTTGAAAGGGGAAAAGATGGGGGTTTGTTTATTTGTTATTAAGAGAAAAGGGGAAAAGGAGGGGGAAGAGAAGAAGGGAGAGAGGAGGGGAGAAGAAAGCGGAGAGAAGGGAGAAGAAGGAAAAAGAAAGAAAGAGGAGAAGGGGGAGAGGAGGAAGGGGGAAGAGAGAAGAGGGGGAGAGGGAAGGAAAGGGGGAGAGGGGAAAGGAGAAAGAGGAGAAGAGCGGGGGAGAGAAAAAGGAGAGAAGGGGAGAAAAAGAAGAGGAAAGGAGAAGAGGGGGGAAAAGAAAGAGAGAGAAAAAGGAAAAGAGAGGGAAGGAAAGAGAGGAAGAGAGAAAGAGAGAGAGGATAGGAGAGAGAGAGGAGAAGGGGAGGAAAAGGGGAAAAGAAGGAGCCGGGGGAAGAGCGAGAGAGAGGGGGGGAGAGGGAGAAGAGGGAGGAGAGAGAAGGAAAAGGGGGGGAAAAGAAAAAGAAAGGGAACCCCCTTTTTAATGGGGTTTTTTTTAAACCTTTTCTTTTTTTTATTTTTGGAATATCTTTTCCTTTTCCTTCCTTCTTTGTCTCTGTCTGTGTCTCTGTCTATGTCTCTGTCTCTCACTGTTTCTGCACAGTGGGATAATGACATCAACACATATAATAATGGTGATTAGAGAAAGAGGACAGTATACAAAATGATAGATAAAGATGAGCAATAGTGACTGTATAAAATAATTAATTCAAATACGGAGCTATTGTATGCTAACAACATGTTATGCTAACAACATGTTATGCTAACAACATTTTATACTAATACATTTTATACGAATACAATTGCTCAGAGAAAGATGATTTTGTTTAACAAGTAATACTTTTTTTCTCAAAAAGGTAGGAGTCAAAATGATTGACACCCCCTAAATATATACACCTGGATTCACCTGGTCAGTCTATGTCATGGAAAGAGCAGATGTCCCTAATGTTTTGTACACTCAGTGTATATGTCAGTACAATGAGATTATGCAGTGTCTATCTGTAACAACATTGAATATGTACAGTACAATGAGATCATATGTCAGTAGTGTGCGTTTCACTTATCTTGTCAAATTTCTGGCAGGAATACAAGAAGTGCATGTCAGTTTTGTACCTCCTGTTAAATCCCCTGATCTCTGATTGGAGCTGTCTTATTCTGTCCATGGCTCAGTCTGTATGAGAGGGGGTTCTTCATTTGACATCTTGGAGGCTTAGATATCTTGACAAATGTACATTTTCAATTTAGGGACGGATAACAATCAAGTTTGTCCAATTTTATTGGTGGAGTACCGTGGATACCAATATTCCTGTCAGCCTCCCAGGCGCATGTTGCCCAGGATTAAGAACATGAATTGTAGATGAATAACGTTACATTGTATTATATTGTATCTGTCACGCCCTGGCTCTGGGGACTCTTAATTGTTGAGCCAGGGTGTGGATTTTCTATGTTTTGTATGCTATGGTTTTCGTTCTAGATCGGTTAGATCTATGTTGGCCAGGGTGGTTCCCAATCAGAGGCAGCTGTAGCTCGTTGTCTCTGATTGGGAACCATACTTAGGCAGCCTGTTTTCACTAGGTGTGTGGGATCTTGTTCCGAAAGGTTTGTGTTAACCTAGGACTTCATCGTTTGGTTTGTTGTTTTGTTTCGTGTGCAGTACGGTAAATAAGATGTACGTTTATCACGCTGCACCTTGGTCCGCATCTGTCGACGATCGTGACAGAAGATCCCACCACGACTGGATCAAGCAGCGTGAAGAGGAGAGAGGATGGACTTGGGAGGAGAGGAGAGAGAGTCTGGCGAGAGCCATGGAGGCCATGTTCACGGGGGAGAGACAAGCCCAAAAAAATTTAGGGGGGGGGTCACGCCGTGGACGACGAGGGCAGCAGGAGGCCGCGATAGAGCGGTTCAGCCGGTTAGCAGAGGAGGCCGCCAGGTTACGGGGGCTATTGGTCATGAGGGAGAAGGAGAGTGTGGAGGCGAGAGGAACTGGTAGAGGAGCGGAGGTTTATGAGGAAACCCAGTCCCGCTCCTCGCACCAAGCAAGTGGTGTGTGTCACCAGTCCGGTCCGGCCCGTTCCTGATTCCCGCACAAGGCCAGTGGTGTGTGTTCCCAGTACGGTCAGGCCCGTTCCTGCTCCCCGCACTAAGCCTGTGGTGCGCGTCGCCAGCCCGGTCCGGCCCTGTGCCTGCTCCCCGCACAAGCCAGTGGTTGCGCGTCGTCGACCGGTCCCGGCCCGTTCCTGCTCCCCGCACACAAGGGGGCATCGCAGTCCGGGTCCGTGCCTGTTCCACCTGGTGCCTGGTCCGGCAACGGTCAGCTGCTCCATGCCGGGAGCCTAGGCAAATCCGCTCCACCAGTTGTTCAGTCCAGCTCCGGCCAGGCCGGGACAGACCAGACCAGGGGCGGCAACGGGGGGTAGAGAGAGTGTGGTGGTAGCACGCCCTGGAGCCGGATCCGCCTCCGAGGCGGAATGCCCACCCGGCCCCTACCCTCTTGTGTTTTGGTTGGCGCGGTTCGCAGTCCGCGCCTTTGGGGTTGGGGGGGGGGGGGGGCGGGTACTGGGGGTACTGTTCACGCCCATGGCTCTGGGGACTCTTAAATTGTTTGGCCAGGGGTTGTGGATTTTCTATGTTTGGTCTTGCTATGGTTTTCGTTCTAGATCGGTTTGATCTATTGTTGGCCAAGGGTGGGTTCCCCAATCAGAGGCAGCTGTAGTCGTGTCTCTGATTGGGAACCATACTTAGGCACCTGTTTTCACTAGTCATTGTGGGATCTTGTTCCGAAAGGTTTGTGTTAACCTAGGACTTTCGTTTGTTGTTTTGTTCGTGTGGTGTACTTCAATAAAAGATGTACGTTTATCACGCTGCGCCTTGGTCCGCCTTGGTCCGTCATCTATCGACGATCGTGACAGTATCAGAGGCTTCAGACCTCCCCCTTTGGTTTTGCCTGAGTCCACTGTCCAGTCGCAACGAAGCATGGAGAAACCCTTAAATCTGTTGGCTGGGCTCCCTGCCTGTGCCGTTAAACCCCTACAACTCATCCAGAACGCTGCAGCCGATCCTGTAGGTTCATGCTCTACAACATTCGGAGAGTACGACCCTACCTTACACAGGAAGCGGTACAGGTCCTAATCCAGGCACTTGTCATCTCCCATCTGGATTACTGCAACTCGCTGTTGGCTGGGCTCCCTGCCTGTGCCATTAAACCCCTACAACTCATCCAGAACGCTGCAGCCCGTCTGGTGTTCAACCTTCCCAAGTTCTCTCACGTCACCCCGCTCCTCCGCACACTCCACTGGCTTCCAGTTGAAGCTCGCATCTGCTACAAGACCATGGTGCTTGCCAACGGAGCTGTGAGGGGAACGGCACCTCCTTACCTTCAGGCTCTGATCAGACCTTACACCCAAACGAGGGCACTGCGTTCATCCACCTCTGGCCTGCTAGCCCCCCTACCTCTATGGAAGCACAGTTCCCGCTCAGCCCAGTCAAAGCTATTCGCTGCTCTGGCACCCCAATGGTGGAACAAGCTCCCCCACGACGCCAGGACAGCGGAGTCACTGACCACCTTCCGGAGACACTTGAAACCCTACCTCTTTAAGGAATACCTGGAATAGTCTAACAGTAATCCTTCTACACCCCCCCCCTCCCCCAGTGGTGGTTGTCCCACTGGCTATCCTAAGTTGAATGCACCAATTTGTAAGTCGCTCTGGATAAGAGCGTCTGCTAAATGACTTAAATGTAAATGTAAATGTAAATATCGCCTATCGGCAAGTTTCTGAAAAGCATAGAATATTGCAGCTTGTTACGCCCCGTAGGTAGGAAACGCCTGCCCTCCTCCCGTATCTTTGTTTGTCCAAACAATGGAGGAGGGTCCGGTGTAAACAAGGGAACAGCTGAGTCAGAGTTGAAATAGGAGCCGAAATCAAGGTTGAAGTCGAGGTTAGTAGCTGTCGATTCGTAGTTCAAAAGTACTTGCCGTCAAAAGTGATAATGGTGTGCATTTTCTGTACAAAAAAAGTCAGGATAAATACAAAATAGCAAAGTCAGGTTGGAGCACATCAGATGTCAGATCTCCGTCGGCGCCATCTTATCATTTCATTATTCATATTATGATTTTCTAAGATGGTTCTGCTAATTACAAAGACAGAATTAATGAAAATATCACTACATTACTTTTGAGCAGATTATGTTTAGCATATGCCTTATCTGGTTTAGTTGGGCAGGGTACTCTGGTCTTCGTGCCTTATCTGGTTTAGTTGGGCAGGGTACTCTGGTCTTCGTGCAACTACTTCGTAGCTGTCTTGCTGGACTGTTGCTCTCAATGGTGCAGTGGGGTGACGTCCTTTCAGCATGGGAGGTAATGGGGTGGGGGGGGGGGGGGGGGGGGGGGGGGTGCTATCCTGTCAGTGTGTGAGCTAGTGAGTACTTAATGGGGGCCAATAGAGTGAGGGGATGCTGGTCTCTCTGGACAAAGTGCTGGTCTCTCTGAACTAAGTGCTGGTCTCTCTGAACAAAGTGCTGGTCTCTCTGGGTGGAGTGCTGGTCTCTCTGGGTGGAGTGCTGGTCTCTCTGGGTGGAGTGCTGGTCTCTCTGGGTGGAGTGCTGGTCTCTCTGGGTGGAGTGCTGGTCTCTCTGAACAAAGTGCTGGTCTCTCTGGGTGGAGTGCTGGTCTCTCTGGGTGGAGTGCTGGTCTCTCTGGGTGGAGTGCTGGTCTCTCTGGGTGGAGTGCTGGTCTCTCTGGGTGGAGTGCTGGTCTCTCTGAACAAAGTGCTGGTCTCTCTGGGTGGAGTTCTGGTCTCTCTGAACTAAGTGCTGGTCTCTCTGAACAAAGTGCTGGTCTCTCTGGGTGGAGTGCTGGTCTCTCTGAACAAAGTGCTGGTCTCTCTGGGTGGAGTGCTGGTCTCTCTGAACAAAGTGCTGGTCTCTCTGGGTGGAGTGCTGGTCTCTCTGGGTGGAGTGCTGGTCTCTCTGAACAGTGCTGGTCTCTCTGAACAGTACTGGTCTCTCTGAACAGTGCTGGTCTCTCTGAACAGTGCTGGTCTCTCTGAACAAAGTGCTGGTCTCTCTGGGTGGAGTGCTGGTCTCTCTGGGTGGAGTGCTGGTCTCTCTGAACAGTGCTGGTCTCTCTGGGTGGAGTGCTGGTCTCTCTGAACAGTGCTGGTCTCTCTGGGTGGAGTGCTGGTCTCTCTGGGTGGAATGCTGGTCTCTCTGGGTGGAGTGCTGGTCTCTCTGGGTGGAATGCTGGTCTCTCTGAACAGTGCTGGTCTCTCTGAACAGTACTGGTCTCTCTGGGTGTGAGTCTGAGGTGCTCTTATTAGCTGGCTTCCCATAGGCCGGATGCGTCTGGTCTTTCTTCCCACACTGGCTGTGTACTTTAGCACCTTTGCAAATACTTTTACAACCCACCTGTTTAGGTGGACGTGGGCTTGCGTGTGGTGAGGGTGGATGTCTTTGTGGTTCACCAAAAATAAGTTTGGCCTTAGTGCAAATTTTCTGCATTGTTTTCTAAAATAATGTTGAATGGCACATTTCAGCGCAGGAGAAGAGATTAAAATATAATCATTGCAACTGGGTATCTCTCTGTGGCCATAATGGCCACTTCTGCCATAGCTGGGGTCACACATCATCTCATGTTCTTTAGGTCGTTTGTTCCAGTGTGTATTATTACCTGTATATAACATGGCTGATTTGGACACTGATAAGCGCCTACATTGGAACGCAGTGGCTGGACAGTAACACGCTATACATGACGTCAGAGCTCAGTGGCTGTACAGTAACATGCTATACATGACGTCAGAGCTCTGGTTCTGGACAGTAACATGCTATACATGACGTCAGAGCTCAGTGGCTGGACAGTAACACGCTATACATGACGTCAGAGCTCAGTGGCTGGACAGTAACATGCTATACATGACGTCAGAGCTCAGTGGCTGGACAGTAACATGCTATACATGACGTCAGTGCTCAGTGGCTGGACAGTAACATGCTATACATGACGTCAGAGCTCAGTGGCTGGACAGTAACACGCTATACATGACGTCAGAGCTCTGGGTCTGTACAGTAACATGCTATACATGACGTCAGAGCTCAGTGGCTGTACGGTAACACGCTATACATGAGGTCAGAGCTCAGTGGCTGGACAGTAACATGCTATACATGACGTCAGAGCTCAGTGGCTGTACGGTAACATGCTATACATGACGTCAGAGCTCAGTGGCTGGACAGTAACACGCTATACATGACGTCAGAGCTCTGGGTCTGTACAGTAACACGCTATACATGACGTCAGAGCTCAGTGGCTGGACAGTAACATGCTATACATGACGTCAGAGCTCAGTGGCTGGACAGTAACACGCTATACATGACGTCAGAGCTCAGTGGCTGGACAGTAACATGCTATACATGACGTCAGAGCTCAGTGGCTGGACAGTAACACGCTATACATGACGTCAGAGCTCAGTGGCTGGACAGTAACACGCTATACATGACGTCAGAGCTCAGTGGCTGGACAGTAACACGCTATACATGACGTCAGAGCTCAGTGGCTGGACAGTAACACGCTATACATGACGTCAGAGCTCAGTGGCTGGACAGTAACACGCTATACATGACGTCAGAGCTCAGTGGCTGGACAGTAACATGCTATACATGACGTCAGAGCTCAGTGTCTGGACAGTAACACGCTATACATGAGGTCAGAGCTCAGTGGCTGGACAGTAACATGCTATACATGACGTCAGAGCTCTGGTTCTGTACAGTAACATGCTATACATGACGTCAGAGCTCTGGTTCTGGACAGTAACATGCTATACATGACGTCAGAGCTCTGGTTCTGGACAGTAACATGCTATACATGACGTCAGAGCTCAGTGGCTGGACAGTAACATGCTATACATGACGTCAGAGCTCAGTGGGCTGTACAGTAACATGCTATACATGACGTCAGAGCTCAGTGGCTGGACAGTAACATGCTATACATGACGTCAGAGCTCAGTGGCTGGACAGTAACACGCTATATATGACGTCAGAGCTCTGGTTCTGGACAGTAACATGCTATACATGACGTCAGAGCTCAGTGGCTGGACAGTAACATGCTATACATGACGTCAGAGCTCAGTGTCTGTACAGTAACACGCCATACATGACGTCAGAGCTCAGTGGCTGGACAGTAACACGCTATACATGACGTCAGAGCTCAGTGGCTGGACAGTAACATGCTATACATGACGTCAGAGCTCAGTGGCTGTACAGTAACATGCTATACATGACGTCAGAGCTCAGTGGCTGGACAGTAACATTCTATACATGACGTCAGAGCTCAGTGGCTGTACGGTAACACGCTATACATGACGTCAGAGCTCAGTGGCTGGACAGTAACACGCTATACATGACGTCAGAGCTCAGTGGCTGGACAGTAACATGCTATACATGACGTCAGAGCTCAGTGACTGGACAGTAACATGCTATACATGACGTCAGAGCTCAGCGGCTGTACAGTAACATGCTATACATGACGTCAGAGCTCAGTGGCTGGACAGTAACATGCTATACATGACGTCAGAGCTCAGTGTCTGGACAGTAACATGCTATACATGACGTCAGAGCTCAGTGGCTGGACAGTAACACGCTATACATGACGTCAGAGATCAGTGGCTGGACAGTAACATGCTATACATGACGTCAGAGCTCAGTGTCTGGACAGTAACATGCTATACATGACGTCAGAGCTCAGTGGCTGGACAGTAACATGCTATACATGACGTCAGAGCTCAGTGGCTGGACAGTAACATGCTATACATGACGTCAGAGCTCAGGTTCACACATCACGACAAGAGAGACACCACAACACTACATAAAGAGAGACACCACAACACTACATAAAGAGAGACGCCACAACACTACATAAAGAGAGACACCACAACACTACATAAAGAGAGAGACACCACAACACTACATAAAGAGAGACACCACAACACTACATAAAGAGAGACGCCACAACACTACATAAAGAGACACCAACAACAATACATAAAGAGAGACACCACAACACTACATAAGAGAGAACACCACAACACTACATAAAGAGAGACACCACAACACTACTAAAGAGAGACACCACAACACTATATAAGAGAGGACCCACAACCACTGACATTAAGAGAGACACCACAACACTACATAAAGAGAGAGACACCACAACACTACATAAAGAGAGACACCACAACACTACATAAAGAGAGACACCACAACACTACATAAAGAGAGACACCACAACACTACATAAAGAGAGACACCACAACACTACATAAAGAGAGACACCACAAACTACATAAAGAGGAGAGACACCTACATAAGAGAGAGAGACACCACAACACTACATAAAGAGGAGGAGAGAGGACCACCAACACTACATAAAGAGAGAGAGACACCCACAACACTACATAAAGAGAGAGACACCACAAACACTACATAAAGAGAGATAGACACCACAACACTACATAAAGAGAGAGAGACACCACAACACTACATAAAGAGAGACCACAACACTACATATAGAGAGAGAGACACCACAACAATAAATAAAGAGAGACACCACAACACTACATAAAGAGAGACGCCACAACACTACATAAAGAGAGACACCACAACACTACATAAAGAGAGACACCACAACACTACATAAAGAGAGGACACCACAAACACTACATAAAGAGAGACACCACAACACTACATAAAGAGAGACACCACAACACTACATAAAGAAGAGACACCACAACACTACATAAAGAGAGACACCACAACACTACATAAAGAGAGGACACCACAACACTACATAAAGAGAGAACCAAACACTTACATTAAAGAGGAGGACACACAACACTACATAAGAAGAGAGACACCACAAACACTAACATAAAGAGAGAGAGACACCACAACAATACATAAAAGAGAGACACAACAAACATACATAAAGAGAGACACCACAACACTACATAAGAGAGACACCACAACACTACATAAAGAGAGACACCACAACAACTACATAAAGAGAGACACCACAACACTTCATAAAGAGGAGAGGGAGGAGGAGACACCACAACACTACATAAAGAGAGAGAGACACCACAACACTACATAAAGAGAGACACCACAACACTACATAAAGAGAGAGAGACACCACAACACTACATAAAGAGAGACAACCACAACAATACATAAAGACACCACACAACACTACATAAAGAGAGACACCACAACAATACATAAAGAGAGACACCACAACACTACATAAAGAGGAGAGACACCACAACACTACATAAAGAGAGAGAGACACCACAACACTACATAAAGAGAGAGACGCCACAACACTACATAAAGAGAGAGAGACACCACAACACATAATAAAAGAGAGAGCCACAAACACTACATAAAGAGAGAGAGACACCACAACACTACATAAAGAGAGACACCACAACAATACATAAAGAGAGACACCACAACACTACATAAAGAGAGAGAGACACCACAAACACTACATAAAGAGAGAGGACACCACAACACTACATAAAGAGAGAGAGAACACCACAACACTACATAAAGAGAGAGAGACACCACAACACTACATAAAGAGAGACACCACAACACTACATAAAGAGAGACACCACAACACTACATAAAGAGAGAGACGACCACAACACTACATAAAGAGAGACACCACAACACTACATAAAGAGAGACGCCACAACACTACATAAAGAGAGGACACCACAACACTACATAGAGAGAGAGAGACACCACAACACTACATAAAGAGAGACACCACAACACTACGTAAAGAGAGACCAACCACAACACTACATAAAGAGAGAGACACCACAACACTACATAAAGAGAGATAGACCCACAACACTACATAAAGAGAGAGACACCACAAACACTACATAAAGAGAGGACCCCACAACACTACATATAGAGAGAGAGACACCCACAACAATAAATAAAGAGAGACACCACAACACTACATAAAGAGAGACGCCACAAACACTACATAAAGAGAGACACCACAACACTACATAAAGAGAGAACCACAACACTACATAAAGAGAGACACCACAAACACTACATAAAGAGAGAACACCACAACACTACATAAAGAGAGACACCACAACACTACATAAAGAGAGACACCACAACACTACATAAAGAGAGACACCACAACACTACATAAGAGAGGACACCACAAACACTACATAAAGAGAGACACCACAACACTACATAAAGAGAGACACCACAACACTACATAAAGAGAGAGAGACACCACAACAATACATAAAGAGAGACACCACAACACTACATAAAGAGAGACACCACAACACTACATAAAGAGAGACACCACAACACTACATATAGAGAGACACCACAACACTACATAAAGAGAGACACCACAACACTTCATAAAGAGAGAGAGACACCACAACACTACATAAAGAGAGAGAGACACCACAACACTACATAAAGAGAGACACCACAACACTACATAAAGAGAGAGAGACACCACAACACTACATAAAGAGAGAGAGACACCACAACACTACATAAAGAGAGAGAGACACCACAACACTACATAAAAGAGAGACACCACAACACTACATAAAGAGAGACACCACAACACTACATAAAGAGAGACACCACAACACTACATAAAGAGAGACACCACAACACTACATAAAGAGAGAGAGACACCACAACACTACATAAAGAGAGAGAGACACCACAACAATACATAAAGAGAGACACCACAACACTACATAAAGAGAGACACCACAACACTAACATAAAGAGAGACCACCACAACACTACATATAGAGAGACACCACAACACTACATAAAGAGAGACACCACAACACTTCATAAAGAGAGAGAGACACCACAACACTACATAAGAGAGAGAGACACCACAACACTACATAAAGAGAGAGAGACGCCACAACACTACATAAAGAGAGAGAGACACCACAACAATACATAAAGAGAGACACCACAACACTACATAAAGAGAGAGAGACACCACAACACTACATAAAGAGAGACACCACAACAATACATAAAGAGAGACACCACAACACTACATAAAGAGAGAGGACACCACAACACTACATAAAGAGAGAGAGACACCACAACACTACATAAAGAGAGAGAGACACCACAACACTACATAAAGAGAGAGAGACACCACAACACTACATAAAGAGAGACACCACAACACTACATAAAGAGAGACACCACAACACTACATAAAGAGAGACGCCACAACACTACATAAAGAGAGACACCACAACACTACATAAAGAGAGACGCCACAACACTACATAAAGAGAGACACCACAACACTACATAAAGAGAGAGAGAGACACCACAACACTACATAAAGAGAGACACCACAACACTACGTAAAGAGAGACACCACAACACTACATAAAGAGAGACACCACAACACTACATAAAGAGAGACGCCACAACACTACATAAAGAGAGACACCACAACACTACATAAAGAGAGACACCACAACACTACATAAAGAGAGACACCACAACACTACATAAAGAGAGACACCACAACACTACATAAAGAGAGAGAGACACCACAACACTACATAAAGAGAGATAGACACAACACAACACTACATAAAGAGAGACACCACAACACTACATAAAGAGAGACACCACAACACTACATAAAGAGAGACCTAAGACAACAACACAGCATGGTAGCAACACGACATGACAACAACATGGTAGCAACACAACATGGTAGCAACACAACATGGCAGCAGCACAACATGGTAGCAACACAACATGGTAGCAACACAAGATGGTACAAACATTATTGGGCAACAGACAACAGCACAAAGGGCAAAAAGGTAGAGACAACAATACATCACGCCAAGCGGCCACAACTGTCAGTAAGAGGGTCCATGAATGAGTCTTTGAATGAAGAGATGGAGAGAAAACTGTCCAGTTTGAATGTTTTTTCATACAAGGACTTGTATGAGGTGACTACCTCAAGCTCTAAACCCTCAGAGGTAGTAATCACACCGGTGGGGAGAGGGGCATTCTTCTTACCAAACCACATGACCTTTGTTTTGGAGGTGTTCAGAACAAGGTTAAGGGCAGAGAAAGCTTGTTGGACACTAAGAAAACTTTGCTGTAGAGCGTTTAACACCAAATCCAGGGAGGGGCCAGCTGAGTATAAGACTGTTCATCTGCATATAAATGGATGAGAGAGCTTCCTACTGCCTAAGCTGTGTTGTTGATGTAAATTGAGAAGAGCGTGGGGCCTAGGATGGAGCCTTGGGGTTCTCCCTTGGTGACAGGCAGTGGCTGAGACAGCAGATGTTCTGACTTTACACACTGCACTCTTTGAGAGAGAGGTAGTTAGCAAACCAGGCCAAAGACCCCTCAGAGACACCAATACTCCTTAGCCGGCCCACAAGAATGGAATGGTTTACCGTATCAAAAGCTTTGACCAAGTCAATGGAAATAGCAGCACAACATTGCTTAGAATCAAGGGCAATGGTGACATCATTTAGAACCTTTAAGGTTGCAGTGACACATCCATAACCTGAGAGGAAACCAGATTGCATACCAGAGAGAATACTATAGACATCACGAAACCAGATTGCATACCAGAGAGAATACTATAGACATCACGAAACCAGATTGCATACCAGAGAGAATACTATAGACATCACGAAACCAGATTGCATACCAGAGAGAATACTATAGACATCACGAAACCAGATTCCATACCAGAGAGAATACTATAGACATCACGAAACCAGATTGCATACCAGAGAGAATACTATAGACATCACGAAACCAGATTGCATACCAGAGAGAATACTATAGACATCACGAAACCAGATTGCATACCAGAGAGAATACTATAGACATCACGAAACCAGATTGCATACCAGAGAGAATACTATAGACATCACGAAACCAGATTCCATACCAGAGAGAATACTATAGACATCACGAAACCAGATTGCATACCAGAGAGAATACTATAGACATCAAGAAACCAGATTGCATACCAGAGAGAATACGTTAGACATCAAGAAACCAGATTGCATACCAGAGAGAATACGTTAGACATCAAGAAAGTCAGTCAGTTGATTATTGACAGGTTTTTCCAACACCTTTTGATAAACAGGGCAAAATAGAAATTGGCCTATAACAGCTTGATCTCCCCCTTTAAATAAAGGACGCACCGTGGCTGCCTTCCAAGCAATGGGAACCTCCCCAGAGAGGAGAGACAGGTTAAAGGTCAGAGACAGGCTTGGCGATGATAGGGGCTGCAACCTTAAAGAAGAAAGGGTCTAAACCATCTGACCCAGAGGTTTTTTTGGGGTCAAGTTTAAGGAGCTCCTTTAGCACCTCGGACTCAGTGACCGCCTGCAGGGAGGAACTGTGTAGCGGGGCAGGGGAAAAAGGGGGAGGAGCATCAGGGCTAGTCGCATTAGAAGGGGAGATGAGGAAATGTTGGACGGGCAAGGAGGCATGTCTGAGTCCAATAGGAATCCTGACTTAACGAAGTGGTGATTAAAGAGCTCAGCCATGTGCTCCTTGTCAGTAACAACCACATCATCAACATTAAGGGACGTGGGCAGCTGTGAGGAGGAGGGTTTATTCTCCAGGTCTTTAACCGTTTTCCAGAACTTCTTGGGGTTAGACCCACAGAGAGAGAACTGCTCCTTAAAGTAACTAACTTTGTCCTTCCGGATAGCCTGAGTGCACTTATTTCTCATTTGCCTGAACGAGAGCCAGTCAGCCTGAGGATGCGTGTGCCGAGCCTTTCGCCAAATGGAATGATGGTGGTCATCTTAAAACATGTGGGGATTACAGGCCGGGACAAGGAAAATTACTGTGAATATGCCTGCCAGCTGTTCTGCTCATGCTGTGAGAACGCGCCCTGGAATACCATCGGGCCCCACGGACTTGCGGGTGTTGACCTGATTAAAGACCTTTCTCACGTCGGCCTCGGAGAGCGAAATAACCCAATCCTTTTTCTTTTTTTTTTGTTCTTTTTTTTGGGGGGGGGGGGGGGGGGGGGGGGGGGGGGGGGGGGGTAGATCAACTTAATATTGCAGATAGATTGTAACTTCCATCAATGTAATTGTCTGCATCACTTCCAATACCCCATGTTTTTCTTTGTGTATATGTATGTGTATATATATATATATATATACATACATATACACACATACATACATATACATATATATACACATATACACACACATACATATCCTTTAAAAATATATATATTCCCCTTTATTAATTTCCAACCCCACCACCCTTTCCCTAATTGGAGTAAACTAGTGAACAACAACGCTTAGGCCTCTACTTCCAGCTTATACTTACTATCTACATTTTATGGACACAGTCAATTTTACAATAATTACATTTTCTTTGTTCTTTCTCCTGAACTTCTTCTACTCTCAACCTCTCCGATCATTTTCATGATGTCCATCCGGTTTGCTTCTATATGCCATATCTTTCTAACTGTGCTCCTTCACAAAAGCTTCCAACCTACAACCCATACACTTATTATGGACACAGCATGCCTACATTATTAGTTATCTTGTTGTTATTAGTTGTTAGTTGTTATTAGTCCCATCCTTCAATTCCATTCAACACCTCCCATATATCTCTTAACACCATCCATATAGGATTTCTATTTGCCATATATTTTTCAACTGTACTGTGATGTCTTACAAAAGTTCTGAACCATTCTCATTGTTTCTACAGATTGTGAATTGAAAATAAACATTTTTGCTAATAGTATCATTATGTTATTGATCGATTGACTATTACTTTTCAGATCACCCAGTAGTGCTATCTGCAGGGTCAGCTCCAGGTAAATATTGCAATCCTTTAGCCATTCCTGGACCTGTGTCCAAAAACAAGCTACAAATGGACAGTACCAAATCAAATGATCTAATGATTCTGTCTCTTCGCAGCAAAATCTGCAGAGCTGGGAAGATTGTATCCCCCATATAAATAACATTCTATTGGTAGCAAGAATTTTATATAATAATTTAAATTGAAAGATTCTAAGTTTTGAATCCGGTGTCGTTTTGCGTATCAGTTCATAAACACTATGCCATGGGATCGGTACGTAAAAAATCTCTTACCAACTATTTTGTAATCTATATGAGACGGCTGTCAATCCTTTGGTCCTTAAATGAAACTGATATACTTTTTTATTTATCACAGTTTTCCTTAACCAATTATGTTCTTTAATGCAAGTCCGACAGACAAGTTCCTTACTTTCTCCCCCTTCCACTTTCCTCTTCCACTTTTGCGGTAAGGCTGCAATTATTTGGTTGTAATTTTGGGTAAAGCAGACATTTCCATATGTTTTTGTTAGCTGTATAACTCCACCAGTTTTTAGGTCAATTAGTATATTTGAGTTTAACCACAATATTTGTTGCATTATTTGTTCTGTCATTTCTGGAGGATTAAATTGAAATTGCAACCAACTTTCTATGGCTTGTTTTACAAATAGTGATATCTGGGAGATGATTTCCTTTTCAAATAACTGAGAGCGAGAGGTTGTAATCTGAATAAAGGGAAAAAGGCCATTCTTGAACATGGGGTGAGACAATCTTACTAATTTGCTAGAGAACCAGTTCGGATTTAAGCATAACTTTTGTATAACTGAAGCTTTTAGTGATAGGTCTAATGCTTTAATATTTAATCATTTCTGTCCTCCGAATTCACATTCATTATATAAATAGGCCTGTTTAATTTTGTCTGGCTTGCCGTTCCAAATAAAATGGATTATATGTTTCTCATATAATTTAAAAAACAATAATACTAAAGAGTTAATCAGGGTGATTTTTCCACAAATTGACAGGTATTTTCCTTTCCATGGTAGCAAGATCTTATCTTTTTTTGCTAACTTTCTAATATAATGTACTGGAGTGAGATCATTTATTTCCTTTGGGGTATGTATTCCGAGTATATCCACATCACCATCAGACCATTTTATTGGTAAACTACATGGTAATGTAAAAAAAAATTATTTTATTGATCCAATACGTAATATAGTACATTTATCATAATTTGGTTGTAATCCAGAGCGGTTAGAAAATGTATCTAGATCCTCTATGAGGCTGTGGAGTGACACAATGTTGTTGTTGTCAAAGTGTACATAAAATGCATTGAGTTCATCTGGTAGAGAGGCATTGTTGGACTTAATGGCCTATAGCCCCTGAGCCTGTGTAATATGATTCCATCTTATTCCTCCAGTATATTGTCCCTTTGCTCATTTGACTCTGCGGAGGTCGTAGCGGGACTTCCTGTCCTTGTTCCTGTCCTCGGCCGTAGCCCCAGGGTCGTCTACGATAGCTCTGTGTGCGGTAGCCCTGTCCTTTAGCTTAGCGCCAACCTCTGTGTCAATCCACGGCTTTTGATTGGGGAAGCAGCGAACCCTCACCGTAGGGACAACGTCGGCGATACATTTTCTAATGAATTCAGTGACGGAGGTGGTAAGCACGTCAATGTTATCGAAATATATTCCAATTAGTGCTAGCAAAGCACCACTCCCCCCCCTCGATTTCCCTGACTCCACTGTCCGTCCGGTGAATGGAGAATCCATCGAGTTGGATAGCCATTGGGGGTATCTTGTCCGAGAGCCATGTTTCAGAAAAGCAACGAATATTGCAGTTTCGTCCCGTTGGTAGCAAATCCGCGATCGAAGGTCCCCATTTTAATATCGAGTGACTGTACATTGGCCAGTAGAATGGAGGGAAGGGTTGGCCGGTTTTCCCTTGCTGTCTGGTTGAATAGCAGAGTCGAGTGTATCGTCCGTAAACCAGGTAAAAACAAAGACACAGCATTCCCTGATGATGGAGATTGAAAAGCTTGGGATGAGGTTGAGTCAGTTTGGGCTGGAAAGAGTCAGCTTGGGATGAGGTTGAGTCAGTTTGGGCTGGAAAGAGTCAGCTTGGGATGAGGTTGAGTCAGTTTGGGCTGGAAAGAGTCAGCTTGGGATGAGGTTGAGTCAGTTTGGGCTGGAAAGAGTCAGCTTGGGATGAGGTTGAGTCAGTTTGGGCTGGAAAGAGTCAGCTTGGGATGAGGTTGAGTCAGATTGGGCTGGAAAGGCCCAGTGGAGGTTCAGTGGAGGGACAGCCAAGGAGAAACAAAGACTGTCTCAAACAACAGGCCCGGAACTCTTCAACAGCCCACCACACCTCCTTCTCTGATTGGTCAGTCACTACATTGGAGCCTCTAATCTGAATGGTCGGTCACTACATTGGAGCCTCTCCTCTGAATGGTTGGTCACTACATTGGAGCCTCTCCTCTGAATGGTCGGTCACTACATTGGAGCCTCTCCTCTGATTGGTCAGTCACTACATTGGAGCCTCTTCTCTGGTACTGGTCCTCCATTGCCAGGAATGTAGCCCCCACCTGGGTGATGCCACGGCTGCTGAAAAGTGCAAGAAAACCCACCACATTTTAGCAGTGGTTAGGAGCAGTCCCTGAACAGTGGTTATAAGCAGTCCCTGAACAGTGGTTATGAGCAGTCCCTGAACAGGCCCTGAACTTCCTCTGCTACCTCGTGACACAGTATGCAGTCACTGGTAGAGGTGATATGATTCTTGACTAGTCTCTCAAAGCACTTCATGATGACAGAGGTGAGTGCTACGGGGCGATAGTCATTTAGTTCAGTTACCGTTGCTTTTCTTGGATACAGGAACAATGGTGGACATCTTGAAGCAAGTGGGGACAGCAGACTGGGACAGGGAGAGATTGAATATGTCCGTAAACACTCCAGCCAGCTGGTCTGCGCATGCTCTGAGGACACGGCTAGGGATGCCTTTTGGGTCGGCTTCTGGAATCAGTTCAGTTGCCCTGGGGAGAGCAAACAAAGTATCTGCTTCGGGAAAGTTGCATTCCTGGTCGTAATGCTGGTAGTTCTGGTGAGTTACCGCCACTCTGATATCCAATAGTTTTTCCCGGCTGTATGTAATGATACAAAACATTTTCTGAGCTAATAATGTAAAAAATACATAAAAACACAAATACCACAAAGTTTCCTAAGAACTAGTCGCGAGGCCGCCATCTTCGTCGGCGCCAGGTAGACAGAAAACATCTGTCCATTTAAATCAATTTTTTTTATGCCAGATGTATTTTTTTGCTTTAAATCCCATGTATCAATATTATTATTGAATAGGTGTGTTTAGTTTAATCTGAAAGTATCTCAAATTGATTGTGAAGCTCAACAAAGTCATTTGTAGATGATTTAAACATGATGTGTGAAAAATGCTAATGTCGGTAGGAGGATTTAGATGGGATTTTTGCCACAAATGCTAAAACTTTACCATTTGGAAACAACAGTGCCAGGGAAACTAAATCAAAGCATGGATTGCTGTCAAACCTTGTCCACAGACTTCCACAAAGGTACTGTTTTCAATGTTTTTCTCCATAATGCAGCCCCTTTGATTAAAAACCATTAACCTATATCTACCCAACAATGTCCTCGGTCACCTTGATCAAAAGGTGCTGTCCTGCTTGTCGTTTCATTCATAATTCATGTTGCGGGCAGAGAGAGAGAGAGAGAGGCCCAGAGAGAGATAGGCCCAGAGAGAGATAGGCCCAGAGAGAGATAGGCCCAGAGAGAGATAGGCCCAGAGAGAGATAGGCCCAGAGAGAGATAGGCCCAGAGAGAGATAGGCCCAGAGAGAGATAGGCCCAGAGAGAGATAGGCCCAGAGAGAGATAGGCCCAGAGAGAGAGGCCCAGAGAGTGGGGATGTGATGTGTCTGAGACTCCGTGTTTATGTTTGTCCACGCTCTGATAGGAGGAGAGAGAGAGAGCGAGAGAGGAGAAGAGAGAGAGAGAGAGAGAGAGAGAGCGAGAGAGAGAGAGAGAGAGAGGAGACGAGAGAGAGAGAGAGAGGAGAGAGGCGCCGGAGAGAGAGAGAGAGGAGAGAGAGAGGGAGAGAGGAGAAAGAGGGGAGAGGAGGGGGGAGAAATGAGAGGGGACGAGGAGAGAGGCGCCTGCCAGGGGGCGGGGGTGTAGAGCTCACGTGTTTATAAACCCCAGCTCTCGCGCTGTGGGTGGGAACACCAATCGGAGAGAGTGAGAGACAGAGACAGAGAGAGACCGAGAGAGAGGAGACTGAGGAGGAGAAGCCGTGGTGGTGGCAGGCTGACAGGGGCTCGCGGAGGGGGAGCAGCTGGTGCCCCTGCATGGATCTCCACCCCTCTATCTCAGCGTGCACATGGACGACCACCTCAGCCTCCTGCAATCCCCGCCGCCTTCCGTCACCAAGACCCACCAGGACAACCCCGACCTCCGAGACCGCGACACCCTAATAAACCACGGATACACAGAGACAGACATCGATGTGATGACGGTGGTGGCGTGCGGCGGAGACAACATGCTGGAGGAGTTGGTGGTGCTACCAGGTCACCACTCTCTGGACCGGTACGAACGGAACCAACCGGACCACGAGTGCTGTGAACGCGTTGTCATCAATATCTCCGGGCTGCGCTTCGAGACGCAGCTGAAGACCCTCTCCCAGTTCCCTGAGACCCTGCTGGGGGACCCCAAGAAGAGAATGAGGTAACTAGAGTACTTTAGTAATATTGGTTATACTGTGTCTGTATGTTAACTCCTAGAAGAGAATGAGGTAACTTTAGTACTTATATAGATTAGTATACACTTGTAGTGGACAGTGATATTTGACATGTGTGTATACAGTATTCATGATATTATAAATACCTCACATGTGACTCGTAATAAGACGAAGCAATTAGCCTATTAAAATGTTTAGCTGACTCATAAGATAATTAAAATATACAAGCAAGCATTAGGCAATGAGTTTATGTTGACTAGCAATAATTAGTCTGGGAATTGTCTATATCAAAGGCAGATATTTAATTAACATTGTTCAATGAATGGATTCACATACAAGGCATGAAGCTTAAGTTACAAAGCATTAACAAGCATTACAAAGCATCCTTCTAGGCATATAGATCCTGAGGTTAACTCAGAAGACAAAGCATGAACAAAGAGATGCTTACTAGGCCAGAGGCCTTGAAGCCTGAGAATTAATCAAGCAACCTTCCTCCGTGGACTGGATACAGTAAAAGAGAGATAACAAAGGCATTTAATTCAATTTATAACATCTGAAGGTGTAACCTTTCAACCCAAAACCAACCACCGTTGACCAATCAAACGATACCAAGTTTACAGTAACCTAAACACTCCGAGGTCCAGTCTCCAATGGCGTCACAGCATTTAAAGGCTTGTGTGGGGGACGACACCAATGTAAATAAGACAGAATTCCTGAGAGGACCATAAAACCTTTTTGCATATAGTAATTCAGAGTTCACCCTGTACAGATACAAGTAACACAGAGATAATACAACCATATACAGTGGGGAGAACAAGTATTTGATACACTGCAGATTTAGCAGGTTTTCCTACTTACAAAGCATGTAGAGGTCTGTAATTTTTATCATAGGTACACTTCAACTGTGAGAGACGGAATCTAAAACAAAAATCCAGAAGATCACATTGTATGATTTTTAAGTAATTAATTTGCATTTTATTGCATGACATAAGTATTTGATCACCTACCAACCAGTAAGAATTCCGGCTCTCACAGACCTGTTAGTTTTTCTTTAAGAAGCCCTCCTGTTCTCCACTCATTACCTGTATTAACTGCACCTGTTTGAACTCGTTACCTGTATAAAAGACACCTGTCCACACACTCAATCAAACAGACTCCAACCTCTCCACAATGGCCAAGACCAGAGAGCTGTGTAAGGACATCAGGGATAAAATTGTAGACCTGCACAAGGCTGGGATGGGCTACAGGACAATAGGCAAGCAGCTTGGTGAGAAGGCAACAACTGTTGGCGCAATTATTAGAAAATGGAAGAAGTTCAAGATGACGGTCAATCACCCTCGGTCTGGGGCTCCATGCAAGATCTCACCTCGTGGGGCATCAATGATCATGAGGAAGGTGAGGGATCAGCCCAGAACTACACGGCAGGACCTGGTCAATGACCTGAAGAGAGCTGGGACCACAGTCTCAAAGAAAACCATTAGTAACACACTACGCCGTCATGGATTAAAATCCTGCAGCGCACGCAAGGTCCCCCTGCTCAAGCCAGCGCATGTCCAGGCCCGTCTGAAGTTTGACAACGACCCGAAACACACAGCCAGGGCAACTAAGGAGTGGCTCCGTAAGAAGCATCTCAAGGTCCTGGAGTGGCCTAGCCAGTCTCCAGACCTGAACCCAATAGAAAATCTTTGGAGGGAGCTGAAAGTCCGTATTGCCCAGCGACAGCCCCGAAACCTGAAGGATCTGGAGAAGGTCTGTATGGAGGAGTGGGTTTGCACACCCTGCTGCAGTGTGTGCAAACCTGGTCAAGACCTACAGGAAACGTATGATCTCTGTAATTGCAAACAAAGGTTTCTGTACCAAATATTAAGTACTGCTTTTCTAATGTATCAAATACTTATGTAATGCAATAAAATGCAAATTAATTACTTAAAAATCATACAATGTGATTTTCTGGATTTTTGTTTTAGATTCCGTCTCTCACAGTTGAAGTGTACCTATGATACAAATTACAGACCTCTACATGCTTTGTAAGTAGGAAAACCTGCAAAATCGGCAGTGTATCAAATACTTGTTCTCCCCACTGTAGATAGCATCAGAGTTATCCTCAGTGAACAAGTTTCAGATAGATAAGATACATGTATACACAGGAGGTTGCTGGCACCTTAAATGGGGAGGTCTGACTTGTGGTAATGACTGGAGCGGAATTAGTGGAATTGTATTTGCTCCGTTCCAGCCATTATTATGAGCCGTCCTCCCCTCACCAGCCTCCTGTGATACTATAGTATTATTCTATCACATTCAATATTCAGTGCTCTGGATACTGTAACAGAGAGAAACATTTTGGCCCCTCAGAGGGGGAAGGGCTGACTAGTCCTTTGGCATTGTCCTTTGTACCTGGACCATTTGCAACTCCAGGTGTCAGAGAGCACTTCAATTAGGGTCGAGCCTACACACTCTTAGAGAAGAAGGTGTTATCTAGAACCTAAAAGGGTCATTTGGCTGTCCCGATAGGAGAACCCTTTGAAGAACCCTTAAAGGTCCTGTCTGAGTTCTAAGAACCCTTCTGGGTTTCATTCCACATAGGGTGTTTACATGGAACCCAAAAGGGTTCTACTTGGAACCAAAAATAGTTCTTCATGGAACCAAAAATGGTTTTCTTTTGGGGACAGCCACCCCAAAACCTTTTTGGAACACTTTTTTCTAAGAGTGTATAAAGGTCCTGTCTGAGTCTAAGTTAACCCTAACCCTAACCCCAAGAAGAGGATGTTAACCCTAACCTTCACCACAAGAAGATGATGTTAACCCTGACCTTCACCCCAAGAAGAGGATGTTAACCCTGACCTTCACCCCAAGAAGAGGATGTTAACCCTGACCTTCACCCCAAGAAGATGATGTTAACCCTGACCTTCACCCCAAGAAGAGGATGTTAACCCTGACCTTCACCCCAAGAAGAGGATGTTAACCCTAACCTTCACCCCAAGAAGAGGATGTTAACCCTGACCTTCACCCCAAGAAGAGGATGTTAACCCTAACCTTCACCCCAAGAAGAGGATGTTAACCCTAACCTTCACCCCAAGAAGAGGATGTTAACCCTAACCTTCACCCCAAGAAGAGGATGTTAACCCTAACCTTCACCCCAAGAAGAGGATGTTAACCCTAACCTTCACCCCAAGAAGAGGATGTTAACCCTAACCTTCACCCCAAGAAGAGGATGTTAACCCTAAATTTCACCCCAAGAAGAGGATGTTAACCCTAACCTTCACCCCAAGAAGAGGATGTTAAACCTAACCTTCACCCCAAGAAGAGGATGTTAACCCTAACCTTCACCCCAAGAAGAGGATGTTAACCCTAACCTTCACCCCAAGAAGAGGATGTTAACCCTAAATTTCACCCCAAGAAGAGGATGTTAACCCTAACCTTCACCCCAAGAAGATGATGTTAACCCTGACCTTCACCCCAAGAAGAGGATGTTAACCCTGACCTTCACCCCAAGAAGAGGATGTTAACCCTAACCTTCACCCCAAGAAGAGGATGTTAACCCTAACCTTCACCCCAAGAAAAGGATGTTAACCCTGACCTTCACCCCAAGAAGAGGATGTTAACCCTGACCTTCACCCCAAGAAGAGGATGTTAACCCTAACCTTCACCCCAAGAAGAGGATGTTAACCCTGACCTTCACCCCAAGAAGAGGATGTTAACCCTAACCTTCACCCCAAGAAGAGGATGTTAACCCTGACCTTCACCCCAAGAAGAGGATGTTAACCCTAACCTTCACCCCAAGAAGAGGATGTTAACCCTGACCTTCACCCCAAGAAGAGGATGTTAACCCTGACCTTCACCCCAAGAAGAGGATGTTAACCCTGACCTTCACCCCAAGAAGAGGATGAGGTAACTTCTAGTGTTTACTGTTGACTGTTTATTGTATTATTCTCTATGTTAACCCTAACTCTAGCTTATTTTAGTTTTAAGTACATGCTCAAGAATTTGACAAATGTTAAATCCATATCATTCTTTCAGACACTATCATTTTTGTATTCCCTCTACATAAAGGAGCAGCAAACCGCAAGCTAAAAGCACTTGCAGTTTGCCGTTCCAACTGTCATTTTTTTATTTGGGAACCACAAATGAGTGTGTAAACAGTGTTGTCGAACTGACAACTGGAGAAACAAAGAAGTGAGAAGCTGTTCAGATTTACATTTACATTTACGTCATTTAGCAGACCCTCTTATCCAGAGCGACTTACAAATTGGTGCATTCACCTTATAGCCAGTGGGACAACCACTTTTTTTTTTTTGGGGGGGGGGGGGGTAAGGGGGGGTAGAAGGATTACTTTATCCTATCCCAGATGGACTCATACGGTAGCAGGGAGATTTCAGATGGACTCATACGGTAGCAGGGAGATTTCAGATGGACTCATACGGTAGCAGGGAGATTTCAGATGGACTCATACGGTAGCAGGGAGATTTCAGGTGGACTCATACGGTAGCAGGGAGATTTCAGGTGGACTCATACGGTAGCAGGGAGATTTCAGGTGGACTCATACGGTAGCAGGGAGATTTCAGATGGACTCATACGGTAGCAGGGAGATTTCAGGTGGACTCATACATGCGTTTCTTTTCAGTCCATTCATCGTCACTTCCTGTTGAACGCGGAACAAGGGAGCGCTCGGATTGTTGTTTCGGAAAGTTTGTTGTTTTGAAAGTGTATTGGAAAGTTTCTTAGTAGCTAGCTAACTTTTGAGTTTGGATCCCGCGGCACAGTTGGCATCTGTTGCTGGGACTGCTACTCTCTGTCCAGTGATCCTGCCGACCAAGGCCAGGTCTGTGGAGCTATTTGGCCTATCAAGCTAGCGGGGTTTTCTTGAGGGCTTGAACGCAGCCCGCGACGCGGTTAGCCATTGTGGCTGAGACCGCAGATTGTCCCGGTTTGTGGCTGTCTAGATCTCTGCTGTTTGTTGTTGTTGTTGTTTTCAGTCTTCCCTGTGACCTGTCCCGTCTGGAACTGAGAGACCTGTCCTGTCTGGAACTGAGAGACCTGTCTGTCTGGAACTGAGAGACCTGTCCTGTCTGGAACTGAGAGACCTGTCCTGTCTGGAACGGAGAGACCTGTCCTGTCTGGAACGGAGAGACCTGTCCTGTCTGGAACGGAGAGACCTGTCCTGTCTGGAACTGAGAGACCTGTCCTGTCTGGAACTGAGAGACCTGTCCTGTCTGGAACTGAGAGACCTGTCCTGTCTGGAACGGAGAGACCTGTCCTGTCTGGAACGGAGAGACCTGTCCTGTCTGGAACTGAGAGACCTGTCCTGTCTGGAACTGAGAGACCTGTCCTGTCTGGAACTGAGAGACCTGTCCTGTCTGGAACTGAGAGACCTGTCCTGTCTGGAACTAAGAGACCTGTCCTGTCTGGACCTGAGAGACCTGTCCTGTCTGGAACTGAGAGACCTGTCCTGTCTGGAACTGAGAGACCTGTCCTGTCTGGAACTGAGAGACCTGTCCTGTCTGGAACTGAGAGACCTGTCCTGTCTGGAACTGAGAGACCTGTCCTGTCTGGAACTGAGAGACCTGTCCTGTCTGGAACGGAGAGACCTGTCCTGTCTGGAACTGAGAGACCTGTCCTGTCTGGAACTGAGAGACCTGTCCTGTCTGGAACTGAGAGACCTGTCCTGTCTGGAACTGAGAGGCCTGTCCTGTCTGGAACTGAGAGACCTGTCCTGTCTGGAACTGAGAGACCTGTCCTGTCTGGAACTGAGAGACCTGTCCTGTCTGGAACTAAGAGACCTGTCCTGTCTGGACCTGAGAGACCTGTCCTGTCTGGAACTGAGAGACCTGTCCTGTCTGGACCTGAGAGACCTGTCCTGTCTGGACCTGAGAGACCTGTCCTGTCTGGAACTGAGAGACCTGTCCTGTCTGGAACTGAGAGACCTGTCCTGTCTGGAACTGAGAGACCTGTCCTGTCTGGAACTGAGAGGAGTAACAGCGTAACCTACGTTGCTACCATGACAAAGACCAAAGCCGGCGGGAGTACCGTTATCGAGGACAGTGGTGTCTCTCTATCACACGTGAAGGATCTTTTAAACAAACAAAAATAGTTCTAAAAGCAGTTGTTACAACAACAAGAAAATAGCTTCAAGTGCTTTGTCCAAATACTGGTGGACGACCTGACCAGAGAGGTCCAGGACCTGAAGAACAGTTTGCAGTTCTCCCAGGGTCAGCTCGATGAGTTTGAAACAGGAGAACGGCAAGATTACAGCAATCTGTAATTCATTGAGAGAGGACATCAGTTCTGTATGTGAATCCATGATAACAATGACGGATAAATCAGATTATCTCGAGGGACAACTAAAGCGTAACAACATGGTTCTGGACGGAATTGCAGAATCTCCACATGAGACCTGGACGGAGTCTGAGGACAAAGTGAGGGAAATGATCTCTGAGAAACTGAAGATGGACCACAGGAAGATTGAGGTGGAGCGCGCCCACAGGACTGGAAAAAATACCATTGGCCCAGGTGACAGGCCCAGGCCGATTGTCGTCAATTTCTTGAGGTTCAAGGACAAGGTAGCTGTTCTGGAAAGAGCCAAGAACTTGAGAGGAACGTATATCTTCCTCAACGAGGACTATCCTGAAGCTGTGCGCCAGAAGAGGAAAGAACTTATCCCAGACATGAAAGCTGCCAGAGCATGTGGGGACATTGCTTACATCTGCTATGACAGGCTCATTGTCCACCCTCCCTCCCAGAAGCCTGAAAGGGATGAGAGCCAAGCCTATGGGTTCGTAGCTTCAACCCCGCAGCACACTAATTGATTAATGCTGAAATGTATATATTTTTACTCATGCTTTGTTTGCTCTTTTCAGTATTATGTCTATCGCTGATAAGCAATCCAGGAAAGGGCTGAAAATAGTCCATATTAATATATGTAGCCTTAGAAATAAGGTTCATGATATCAATAACTAACATCAGATAACATTCATATATTAGCCATTTCTGAGACTCACTTAGATCATTCATTTGATGATACAGCAGTAGCAATACAAGGATATAACATCTATAGAAGAGACAGAAAGGCTTATGGGGGAGGTGTTGCTGTATATATTCAGGGCCATATCCCTGTAATGCTTAGAGAAGATCTTATGTCAAGTGTTATTGAAGTGTTGTGGTTGCAGGTTCACTTGGCACATCTAAAGCCTTTTCTTTTGGGGTGTTGTTATAGGCCACCAAGTTCGAACAGTCAGTATCTAAATAATATGTGTGAAATGCTTGATAGTGTATGTGATGTAAACAGAGAGATCTACTTTCTTGGGGACCTGAATATTGACTGGTTTTCATTAAGCGGTCTGCTCAAGATGAAGCTTCTCACTGTAACCAGTGCCTGTAATCTGGTTCAGGTTATTAATCAACCTACCAGGGTGTTTACAAACACTACAGGAACAAGATCATCCACATGTATTGATCACATTTTTACTGATACCGTAGAACTTTGTTCTACATTTTTACATTTTACATTTTAGTCATTTAGCAGATGCTCTTATCCAGAGCGACTTACAGTTAGTGAGTGCATACATTATTTTTTTATTTTTTTTCATACTGGCCCCCTGTGGGAATCGAACCCACAACCCTGGCGTTTCAAACGCCATGCTCTACCAACTGAGCTACATCCCTCTAAAGCTGTATCCGTAACATTGGATGCAGTGATCACAATATAGTGGCTATATGCAGGAAAGACAAATTTCCAACAGCCGGACCTAAAATAGTGTATAAGAGATCATCCAAAAGATTTAGCTGTGACTCATATGTGGATAATGAAAAAGCATTTGTTGGTTTGATCTGATTAATAAGGAGCATCCAGACGCTAAACTGGATGAATTTAAGAAATTGCTTTTTCCAATTATTGATAAACTTGCACCTGTTAGGAAACTGACTGTTAGAGCTGTTAAGGCTCCGTGGATTGATGAGGAACTGAAAAACTGTCTGGTTGAAAGAGATGGGTCAAAAGGAGTGGCTAATAAGTCTGGCTGCACATCTGACTGGTTGACTTACTGCAAATTGAGAAATTGTGACTAAACTCAACAAAAAGAAGAAGAAACGGTATTATGAAGCCAAGATCAATGATATAAAGAATGATGGAAAACAACTTAGGAGTACTTTAAATGAAATTATGGGTAGAAAGACAAATTCAACTCCATCTTTCATCAAATCAGATGGCTTATTCATCACAAAACCATTTGATGTTTCCAATTATTTTAATGATTACTTCATTGGCAAAGTGGGCAAACTTAGGCAGGAAATGTCAACAACGAACAGTGAGCCATCGTATTCATGCATAAAAAAACATATAATGAAAGAAAAGCATTGCAAGTTTGAATTTTGTAAAGTGAGTGTGGGAGAGGTGGAAAAATAATAACAATCCTCCTGGCATTGACAACTTAGATGGAAAGCTACTGAGGATGGTAGCTGACTCTATGGCCACTCCTATCTGTCATATCTTTAATCTGAGCCTAGAGGAAAGTCTTCATCCTCAGGCCTGGAGGGAAGCCAAAGTCACTCCACTACCCAAGAATGGTAAAGCAGCCTTTACTGGTTCTAACAGCAGACCTATCAGCTTGCTGCCAGCTCTTAGCAAACTGTTGGAAAAGATTGTGTTTGACCAAATACAGTGCTATTTCTCTGTAAACAAATTAACAACAGACTTTCAGCATGCTTATAGAGAAGGGAACTCAACATGTACTGCACTGACACAAATGACTGATGATTGGTTGAAAGAAATTGATAATAACAAGATTGTGGGAGCTGTACTGTTAGATTTCAGTGCAGCCTTTGATATGATTGACCGAAACCTGTTGTTGAAAAAACGTATATGTTATGGCTTTTCAACCTCTGCCATATCGTGGATTCAGAGCTATTTATCTAATATAACTCAAAGGGTTTTCTTTAATGGAAGCTTCTCTAATGTCAAACATGGACAGTGTGGTGTACCGCAGGGCAGCTTTCTAGGCCCTCTACTCTTTTCTATTTTTACAAATGACCACTGGCATTAAACAAAGCATGTGTGTCCAAGTATGCTGATGATTCAACCATATACGCATCAGCAAGCACAGCTAATGAAGTCACTGAAACCCTTAACAAAGAGTTGCATTCTGTTTTGGAATGGGTAGCCAGTAGTAAACTGGTCCTGTACATCAATAAAACTAAGAACATTGTATTTGGTACAAATCATTCCCTAAGTTCTGGACCTAATGAATGGTGTGGCTGTTGAGGAGACTAAATTACTTGGTGTTACCTTAGATTGTAAACTGTCATGATCAAAACATATAGATTCAATGGTTGTAAAGATGGACACCACACTCCAAAAAGCAAGTCCTGCAGGCTCTAGTTTTGTCTTATCTTGATTATTGTCCTGCCATGTGGTCCAGTGCTACAAGGAAAGACCTAGTTAAGCTGCAGCTGGCCCATAACAGAGTGGCACGTCTTGTTCTTCATTGTAATCAGAGGGCTGATATAAATACTATGCATGCCAGGAGAGGAGAGACAGGAGAGACTGACTGCATCACTTCTTCTTTTTATAAGAAACATTAACGTGTTGAAAATCTCAAATGGTTTGCATAGTCAACTTACACACAGCTCTGACACACATTTACCCAACCAGACATGCCACCAGGGGTCTTTTCACAGTCCCCAAATCCAGAACAAATTCAAGAAAGCGTACAGTATTATATAGAGCCATTATTACATGGAACTCCGTTCCATCTCATATTGCTCAAATAAACAGCAAACCTGGTTTCAAAAAACAGATAAAGCAACACCTCACGGCACAACGCCTCTCCCCTATTTGACCTAGATAGTTTGTGTGTATGTATTGATATGTACGCTACGTGTGCCTTTTTAAAAAATTTATGTAGTTCTGTCCTTGAGCTGTTCTTGTCAATTAATGTTCTGTATTATGTCATGTTTCATGTTTGTGTGGACCCCAGGAAGAGTAGCTGCTGCTTTTGCAACAGCTAATGGGGATCCTTATAAAATACCAAAAAACTTTTATATCGCATAAAATCAGATATCAGGAAATATATAAATAAATCAGCCAGGTCACCCGTGATACAAGTCAGTATTCAATGTCCATCCATGCCTGAGGATGTCGGGAGATGATGTGGAAACTGGCCACTAGGGGGGCAACAGTGAGCGCTGATTCCTTCAAGTAGGTTTCAGTTTTTGGCGTTGTGGATGGTGGATGGGCGTAAGCATCTGCCTCTGGTTGCAAGTTCGAATCCAGCCATAGAAAGGTGTTCTTGATATTTTTGTTTTAAGCCTATCCCAAACCTTAACCCTTACCTTAACCACTCAGAGTTAATGCCTAACCTTGAGATTTCAGAATTAATGCCTCAACTTAACCTTAAAACACTTTGTTTGGAACAACATTTTGAAAAATTTTGAAATTTGATGTTTGAGAAACATGGATGACCATCTAATTCTGACGTGAGACTGTGAGCGCTGAGATAAAGATATCCTCTGATATTGACCGTATTCGCCCAGTGATGAGGTACTTAACGCTGTTGACGGTTTATTGTATTGTTCTTGTTCTGTTAACTCAGAGAGGATGAGGTACAGAAGGACTTACTCTGTACTGGTTGCTGGTTATTGTCTTGTCTTAACACACGTCATGCCTACTGCTGACAATTAATCAATTAAGTATCAATATATCAATATATCTTCGTCTGTTTCTGTGTCTGTCTGTCTGTCTGTCTGTCTGTCTGTCTGTCTGTCTGTCTGTCTGTCAATCAATTAAGCATTACTACATAAATGTATGTATCGGTCTCTCTCTATCCCCCCCCTTTCCAGGTACTTTGACCCTCTGAGGAACGAATATTTCTTTGACAGGAACCGGCCCAGCTTCGACGCTATCCTCTATTACTACCAGTCAGGCGGGCGCATCAGGAGACCCGTCAACGTGCCCATAGACATCTTCTCTGAGGAGATCCGCTTCTACGAGCTGGGAGAAGAGGCCATGGAGAAGTTCAGAGAGGATGAGGGTTTTATTAAGGAAGAGGAGAGACCACTACCTGACAATGAGCTGCAGAGACAGGTGTGGTTGAGCACAGACGTCTTCTATCATTTTACTCCCTCGACAAAAGCCAAACACACGTCAGAGTTTAGAAATGTTTGTTCCATTGAACATGCAGTAATAATAACAGCATTTTAAATGATCTGGGTCGTCCTTTAGAACCTTCTAGCGTTTCCCCTTCTTCTTCAGTCTGCTAATCCTGTGTGGCTCGGTTGGTAGAGCATGGCACTTGCAACGTCAGGGTTGTGGGTTTGATTCCCACAGTCGACCAGTATGAACATTTATGCAGTTTGCTCCACATTAGTGTGTCTGATAAACGTAAATGTAATGTTGATGTTCCCTTGAGCAAGGAATTTAAAATAACGAACAGAATACAAATGTCTATTTTGGGTGAACTAATACAATATTATCTTATCTTAACCTTTTAAGGATCGGATCCTTTAAAAAAAAAAAATTCGCCTAAAATGACATACCCAAATCTAACTGCCTGTAGCTCAGGACCTGAAGCAAGGATATGCATATTCTTGATACCACTTGAAAGGAAACACTTTGAAGTTTGTGGAAATGTGAAATTAATGTCAGAGAATATAACACATTAGATCTGGTAAAAGATAATACAAACAAACAAATATGTTTTGTTCCATCATATTTGAAATGAAAGAGAAAGGCCACAATATAATATTGCAGTTTAGGCGCAATTTAGACTTTGGCCACTAGATGGCAGCAGTGTGTGTGCAAAGTTTCAGATTGATCCAGTGAAGCATTGCATTACTGGACAATTTTGTATCAAGTCTACCCAAATGTGCCGAATTGGTCAATTGATACATTCTCAAGTACATAACTATAGAGAACATACAAAAATGATATGGTAATACACAATGTAAGTTTACACACTTCCAGGAATGTCATACATGATGAATCATTAGCTTATATACTAACTTTCACACATCTAGATGGCCGGGCGGGGTAGGTGCGGATCCAGAGACAGCAGGGATTCAAACTGTAGAACCCAGTTCCTACATTTGAATATAAAAATTGATTTGATCAAACAAAACTATGCTATATTTGATCTCTGGGACCCTTAGGATGACAAATCAGAGCAAGATTACTGAATGTAAGTACATTGTTCACCTTCAGAGGTGAATGTATCAAACCAGTTGTCGTGATACGTTTTTTGTTGTTGTGCACTCTCCTCAAACAATAGCATGGTATTTTTTCACTGTAATAGCTACTGTAAATTGGACAGTGTGGTTAGATTAACAAGAATTTCAGCTTTCTGCCCATATAAGACATGTCTATGTCCTGGAAAGTTTATTGTTAATCCAGTACCTCTCCTCTCATGTTAAAGGTGTGGCTGCTGTTTGAGTACCCTGAGAGCAGTGGTCCGGCGCGGGGGATAGCCATCGTCTCTGTCCTCGTCATCCTCATCTCCATCGTTATCTTCTGCCTGGAGACGTTACCGGAGTTCAGGGACGACCACAAGGAGCCCGTCCCGGTGGCTCCCGTTATTAACGGCACCGAGCCGTACTTCTCCTCTCCGTTCTCTGACCCGTTCTTCGTGGTGGAGACGCTGTGCATCATCTGGTTCTCCTTCGAGCTGCTGGTCCGGTTCTTCGCCTGTCCCTCCAAGGCCACGTTCTCTAGGAACATCATGAACATCATAGATATCGTTGCTATCATACCCTACTTCATTACACTGGGCACGGAGCTGGCGGAGCAGCAGGGGAACGGGCAGCAAGCCATGTCCCTCGCCATCCTCAGGGTCATCAGGCTGGTCAGGGTCTTCAGGATCTTCAAGCTGTCCAGACACTCCAAGGTACCTAGCACCATCTCTATATAGCACAAACCTCCAAAGATGTGTTCAATGTTCACTATTGCCCTCTCTCTCCCTCTCGCTCTCCCTCTCTCTCTCTGTCTCTCCCTCTCTCTCCCTCTCGCTCTCCCTCTCGCTCTCCCTCTCGCTTTCGCTCTCCCTCTCGCTTTCGCTCTCCCTCTCGCTGTGTGTGTGTGTGTGTGTGTGTGTGTGTGTGTGTGTGTGTGTACTGTCAAGCTGAAGCTGCGTTGAACCAAACCAATTGCCCTAATACAGTAAACTAATTAGAGTGAACTCTCTCTGTCTGTCTATGGTAGGTCTGAACTCTCTGTCTGTCTATGGTAGGTCTGAACTCTCTCTGTCTGTCTATGGTAGGTCTGAACTCTCTCTGTCTATCTATGGTAGGTCTGAACTCTCTCTGTCTATGGTAGGTCTGAACTCTCTCTGTCTATCTATGGTAGGTCTGAACTCTCTCTGTCTATCTATGGTAGGTCTGAACTCTCTCTGTCTGTCTATGGTAGGTCTGAACTCTCTCTGTCTATCTATGGTAGGTCTGAACTCTCTGTCTGTCTATGGTAGGTCTGAACTCTCTCTGTCTATCTATGGTAGGTCTGAACTCTCTCTGTCTATCTATGGTAGGTCTGAACTCTCTCTGTCTGTCTATGGTAGGTCTGAACTCTCTCTGTCTATCTATGGTAGGTCTGAACTCTCTCGGTCTATCTATGGTAGGTCTGAACTCTCTGTCTATCTATGGTAGGTCTGAACTCTCTCTGTCTATCTATGGTAGGTCTGAACTCTCTCTGTCTATCTATGGTAGGTCTGAACTCTCTCTGTCTGTCTATGGTAGGTCTGAACTCTCTGTCTATCTATTGTAGGTCTGAACTCTCTGTCTATCTATTGTAGGTCTGAACTCTCTCTGTCTATCTATGGTAGGTCTGAACTCTCTCTGTCTATCTATGGTAGGTCTGAACTCTCTGTCTATCTATGGTAGGTCTGAACTCTCTGTCTATCTATGGTAGGTCTGAACTCTCTCTGTCTATCTATGGTAGGTCTGAACTCTCTGTCTATCTATGGTAGGTCTGAACTCTCTCTGTCTGTCTATGGTAGGTCTGAACTCTCTGTCTATCTATGGTAGGTCTGAACTCTCTGTCTGTCTATGGTAGGTCTGAACTCTCTGTCTATCTATGGTAGGTCTGAACTCTCTCTGTCTGTCTATGGTAGGTCTGAACTCTCTCTGTCTATCTATGGTAGGTCTGAACTCTCTCTGTCTATCTATGGTAGGTCTGAACTCTCTCTGTCTATCTATGGTAGGTCTGAACTCTCTCTGTCTATCTATGGTAGGTCTGACCTCTCTGTCTATCTATGGTAGGTCTGAACTCTCTCTGTCTGTCTATGGTAGGTCTGAACTCTCTGTCTATCTATGGTAGGTCTGAACTCTCTGTCTATCTATGGTAGGTCTGAACTCTCTCTGTCTGTCTATGGTGGGTCTGAACTCTCTCTGTCTATCTATGGTAGGTCTGAACTCTCTCTGTCTATCTATGGTAGGTCTGAACTCTCTCTGTCTGTCTATGGTAGGTCTGAACTCTCTCTGTCTATCTATGGTAGGTCTGAACTCTCTCTGTCTATCTATGGTAGGTCTGAACTCTCTGTCTATCTATGGTAGGTCTGAACTCTCTGTCTATCTATGGTAGGTCTGAACTCTCTCTGTCTATCTATGGTAGGTCTGAAGGTCTGAACTCTCTGTCTATCTATGGTAGGGTTCGTGAACCTCTCTGTCTATCGATGGTAGGTCTGAACTCTCTCTGTCTATCTATGGTAGGTCGAACTCCTCTGGTCTATCTATGGTAGGAGGTCTGAACTCTCTCTGTCTAATCTATGGTAGGTCTGAACTCCTCTGTCGGTCTATGTTAAGGTCTGAACCTCTGTCTATCTATGGTAGGTCTGAACTCTCTCTGTCTGTCTATGGTAGGTCTGAACTCCTCTCTGTCTATCTATGGTAGGTCTGAACTCTCTGTCTATCTATGGTAGGTCTGAACTCTCTCTGTCTATCTATGGTAGGTCTGAACTCTCCTGTCTATCTATGGTATGTTCCTGAACTCTCTCTGTCTATCTATGTAAGGTCTGACTCTCTCTGTCTGTCTAGGTAGGTCTGAACTCTCGGTCTATCTATGGTAGGTCTGAACTCTCCTCTGTCTATCTATGGTAGGTCTGACCTCTCTGTCTGTCTATGGTAGGTCGGAACTCTCTCTGTCTATCTATGGTAGGTCTGAACTCTCTGTCTATCTATGGTAGGTCTGAACTCTCTGTCTATCTATGGGTAGGTCTGAACTCTCTCTGTCTATCTATGGTAGGTCTGAACTCTCTGTCTATCTATGGTAGGTCTGAACTCTCTCTGTCTATCTATGGTAGGTCTAACTCTCTGTCTGTCTATGGGTAGGTCTGAACTCTCTCTGTCTATCTATGGTAGGTCTGAACTCTCTCTGTCTATCTATGGTAGGTCTGAACTCTCTCTGTCGTCTATGGTAGGTCTGAACTCTCTCTGTCTATCTATGGTAGGTCTGAACTCTCTGTCTATCTATGGTAGGTCTGAACTCTCTCTGTCTATCTATGGTAGGTCTGAACTCTCTCTGTCTATCTATGGTATGTCTGAACTCTCTCTGTCTATGGTAGGTCTGAACTCTCTCTGTCTATCTATGGTAGGTCTGAACTCTCTCTGTCTATCTATGGTAGGTCTGAACTCTCTGTCTGTCTATGGTAGGTCTGAACTCCCTCTGTCTATCTATGGTAGGTCTGAACTCTATCTGTCTATCTATGGTAGGTCTGAACTCTCTCTGTCTATCTATGGTAGGTCTGAACTCTCTCTGTCTATCTATGGTAGGTCTGAACTCTCTCTGTCTATCTATGGTAGGTCTGAACTCTCTGTCTATCTATGGTAGGTCTGAACTCTCTGTCTGTCTATGGTAGGTCTGAATTCTCTCTGTCTGTCTATGGTAGGGGCTCCAGATCCTGGGCCAGACCCTGAAGGCCAGCATGCGGGAGCTGGGCCTCCTCATCTTCTTCCTCTTCATCGGAGTCATCCTCTTCTCCAGCGCCGTCTACTTCGCCGAGGCCGACGACCCAGACTCCGGCTTTAGCTCCATCCCTGATGCCTTCTGGTGGGCCGTGGTCACCATGACTACTGTCGGCTACGGCGACATGCACCCGATAACCATCGGCGGGAAGATCGTGGGCTCTCTCTGCGCCATCGCTGGCGTGCTGACCATAGCCCTGCCCGTCCCCGTCATCGTGTCCAACTTCAACTACTTCTACCATCGGGAGACGGAGGGGGAGGAGCAGGCGCAGTACCTCCACGTGGGAAGCTGTCAGCCGCTGGCGTCCGAGACGGAGGAGGATGGGGGGATGAGGAAGAGGAGCAGCTCTTCATCGCTCAGTAAGAGTGAGTACCTGGTGATAGAGGAACACAGAGGACTGAACAGCAGCACCTTCAAACAGCAGCAGAACTTCCCCACGGCAACCACCGCTACCACGACAACAACCATGACACAAAACAACACAGCGAACAGCGTCAGCATCAACAAGAAGATATTCACTGACGTGTAGTCTATGGCGTCATAACGGACTCGTGGATGAATGTATGTAGTGCTTTAACAGAAGGGGTTGAATGAGGGGAAACCCATCACCAGCATGCACCTCCAGGCCCCATACCTAAAGGGGCTATCTACACGAAATGATCTAAAGTATGTGGACACCTGCTCGCCCAACATCTCATTCCAAAATCATGGGCATTGATATGGAGTTGGTCCCCCCCCCTTTGCTGCTATAACAGCCTCCACTCTTCTGGGAAGGCTTTCCACTAGATGTTGGAACATTGCTGCGGGGGACTTGCTTCCATTCAGCCACAAGAGCATTAGTGAGGTCGGGCGCTGATGTTGGGCGATTAGGCCTGGCTCGCAGTCGGCGTTCCAATTCATCCCAAAGGTGTTCCATGGGGTTGAGGATAGGGCTCAGTGCAGGCCAGTCTAGTTCTTACACACCGATCTCGACAAACCATTTCTTTATGGACCTCGCTTTGTGCAAGGGGGAATTGTCATGCTGAAACAGGAAAGGGCCTTTCCCAAACTGTTGCCACAAAGTTAGCAGCACAGAATCGTCTAGAATGTCATTGTATGCTGTAGCGCTAAGATTTCCCTTCACTGGAACTAAGGGGCCTAGCCCGAACCATGAAAAACATCCCCAGATCATTATTCCTCCTCCACCAAACTTTACAGTTGGCACTATGCATTTGGGCAGGTTGCGTTCTCCTGGCATCCGCCAAACCCAGATTTGTCCGTTGGACTGCCAGATGGTGAAGCGTGATTCATCACTCCAGAGAACACGTTTCCACTGCTCCGAGCCAGGCATGGGGATCTTAGGCCATGGAAACCCAGTTCATGAAGCTCCCGACGAACAGTTCTTGTGCTGACGTTGATTTCAGAGGCAGTTTGGAACTCGGTAGTGAGTGTTTCTACCAAGGACAGACCATTTTTACGCCCTAAGTGCTTCAGCACTCGGTGGTCCCGTTCTGTGAGCTTGTGTGGCCTACTTCGCTGCTGAGCCGTTGTTGCTCCTAGACGCACTTACAGTTGACCAGGGCAAAAATTTGACGAACTGATTTGTTGGAAAGGTGGCATCCTATGACGGTGCCACGTTGAAAGACACTGAGCTCTTCAGTAAGGCCATTCTACTGCCAATGTTTGTCCATGGAGATTGCATGGCTGTGTGCTCGATTTTAAGCACCTGTCAGCAACGGGTGTGGCTGAAATACCCGAATCCATTAATTTGAAGGGGTGTCCACATACCTTTATATATATAGTGTATCTAGATGATATGGACATTCCACCGGCTGTACTCTGACTGTTATAACGCAGCAGTCAGTGCCAGGGTGAAGGAGAGAGAGACAGAGACAGAGACAGAGACAGACAGAGACAGAGACAGAGACAGAGACAGAGACAGAGAGAGGAGAGAGACAGAGGAGAGGGAGAGAGAGACAGAGAGACAGAGAGACAGAGAGAGAAATAGAGAGGAGAGAGGCAGAGGAGAGGGAGAGAGAGAGAGAGAGAGAGGAGGAGAGAGAGAGAGAGAGAGAGAGAGAGAGAGAGAGAGAGACAGAGAGAGAGAGAGAGAGAGAGAGACAGAGACAGAGACAGAGACAGAGACAGAGAGAGAAACAGAGACAGAGACAGAGACAGAGACAGAGACAGAGACAGAGAGAGAAACAGAGACAGAGACAGAAACAGAGACAGAGACAGAGACAGAGACAGAGACAGAGAGATATCCAGCTACAGAGCTATAACCATGTCTGCTCAGCACAGCAAGCAGCTCTTTGTGTGTGAAACAGATCAGTATTCAAATAATTACAATTCATTCTTCGTTTCCATCTGCGTTTTGGAAGGAGAGAGACAGAGATATAGAGGGAGAGACAGAGACAGAGACAGAGATATAGAGGGAGAGAGAGTCGCTTTTTCTTTCTTCTGTTGTTTTAGATGGAATATAAACACTAGAGCTTTTAACTCTTCAGCTGATTTTAATATCAGAGTGGTGTGCATTAATGACTATAGGGATGCATTTATTAGGCTACATCAGATTGTTAAACAGTCACCACTAGCCGGCCTCCACCCAGTACCCTGCCCTGAACCTTAGTCGCTGTTACTAGCCGGCTACCACCCGGGACTCTACCCTGCACCTTAGAGACTGCTGCCCTATGTCCTTAGAGTCAATGAACACTGGTCACTTTAATCATGTTTACATCCTGTTTTACCCACTTCATATGTATATACTGTATTCTAGTCATGGTTCATCCTATATAACTACTGCTGTCCTCTTCATATGTATATACTGTATTCTAGTCATGGTTCATCCTATATAACTACTGCTGTCCACTCCATATGTATATACTGTATTCTAGTCATGGTTCATCCTATATAACTACTGCTGTCCACTCCATATGTATATACTGTATTCTAGTCATGGTTCATCCTATATAACTACTGCTGTCCACTTCATATGTATATACTGTATTCTAGTCATGGTTCATCCTATATAACTACTGCTGTCCACTTCATATGTATATACTGTATTCTAGTCATGGTTCATCCTATATAACTACTGCTGTCCTCTTCATATGTATATACTGTATTCTAGTCATGGTTCATCCTATATAACTACTGCTGTCCACACCTTTTCTATTCATATACTGTCCATACTGTCTATACACACCATTATATATATATTTATATTCTGGACTCTGACATTGCTTGTTCTGATATTTCTTTCTTTAAATTGTTTTGATTATGTGTGTATTGTTTTGCATTGCTATGTATTACTGCACTGTTGGAGCTAGAAACACAAGCATTTAGCTGCACCTGAGATGGCATCTGCAAATATGTGTACGCGACCAATAAACTTTGATTTTATTTTAAATGTTCCTCACAGGGCAGAGCTTTCAGTGTAGTACACTGATCATATATAGACACACACTGATCACACACACACACACACACACACACACACACACACACACACACACACACACACACACACACACACACACACACACACACACACACACACACACACACACACACACACACACACACACACACACACACACACACACACACACACACACACACACCACACACACACACACACACACACACACACACACACACACACACACACACACACACACACACCACACACACACACACACACCACACACACACACACACACACAAACACACACACACATACACACACCACACTGATCACACACACAACACACACATACACACACACACATATCACACACACACAACACACATGACCACAAACAGCACCACACACACACTGATCACACGCACACACACACACACTGATCACACACACACACAGATCACACACACACACGCACACACACACGATCTGTAGACCATCCATGTAAAACATTGTTTTATTCTATTCTGTTGTAGATACACTACCAGTCAAAAGTTTGGACACACCTACTCATTCAAGGGTTTTTCTTTATTTTTACTATTTTCTACATTGTAGAATAATAGTGAACACATCACAACTATGAAATAACATATGGAATCATGTTGTAACCAAAAAAGTGTTAAACAAATCAAAATATATTTTATATTTCAGATTCTTCAAATAGCCACCCTTTGCCTTGATGACAGCTTTGCACACTCTTGGAATTATCTCAACCAGCTTCATGAGGTAGTCACCTGGAATGCATTTCAATTAACAGTTGTGCCTTCTTAAAAGTTAATTTGTGATTTTTTTTCCCTCCTTAATGCGTTTGAGCCAATCAGTTGTGTTTTGACAAGGTAGGGGGGTATACAGAAGAATGCCCTATTTGGTAAAAGACCAAGTCCATATTATGGCAAGAACAGCTCAAATAAGCAAAGAGAAACGACAGTCCATCATTACTTTAAGACATGAAGGTCAGTCAATACGGATAATTTCAAGAACTTTGAAAGTGTCTTCATGAAAAGTCGCAAAAACCATCAAGCGCTATGATGAGACTGGCTCTCATGAGGACCACCACTGGAATGGAAGACCCAGAGTTACCTCTGCTGCAGAGGATAAGTTCATTAGAGTTACCAGCCTCAGAAATTGCAGCCCAAATAAATGCTTCAGAGTTCAAGTAACAGACACATCTCAACATCAACTGTTCAGATGAGACTGTGTGAATCAGGCCTTCATGATCGAATTGCTGCAAAGAAACCACTACTAAAGGACACCAATAAGAAGAAGAGACCTGCTTGGGCCAAGAAACACGAGCAATGGACATTAGACCGGTGGAAATGTGTCCTTTGGTCTGGAGTCCAAATTTGAGATTTTGGTTCCATAATCCGTGTCTTTGTGAGACGCGGTGTGGGTGAACGGATGTGTATTTCCCACCGTAAAGCATGGAGGAGGTGGTGTTATGGTGTGGGGCTGCTTTGCTGGTGACACCGTCTGTGATTTATTTAGAATTCAAGGCACACTTAACCAGCATGGCTACCACAGCATTCTGCAGTGATACGCCATCCCATTTGGTTTGGGCTTAGTGGGACTATCATTTGTTTTTCAACAGGACAATGACCCAACACACCTCCAGGCTGTGCAAGGGCTATTTGACCAAGAAGGAGAGTGATGGAGTGCTGCATCAGATGACCTGGCCTCCACAATCCCCTGACCTCAACCCAATTGAGATGGTTTGGGATGAGTAGGATGCCAGAGTGAAGGAAAAGCAGCCAACAAGTGCTCAGCATATGTGGGAACTCCTTCAAAGACTGTTGGAAAAGCATTCCAGGTGAAGCTGGTTGAGAGAATGCCATGAGTGTGCAAAGCTGTCATCAAGCAAAGGGTGTCTATTTGAAGAATCTGAAATATAAAATATATTTTGATTTGCTTAACACTTAACACTCTTTTGGTTACTACATGATTCGATATGTGTTATTTCATAGTTTTGATGTCTTCACTATTATTCTACAATGTAGAAAATAGTAAAAATAAAGAAAAACCCTGGAATGAGTAGATGTGTCCAAACATTTGACTGGTACTGTAGATAACAATATATGTTTCTGATTATATTAATTATATCAGCCAGCAGCTGTTCTGTAGCAGCAGTGGAGGAAACACCCAAAGGGAAGGAATAGACTCCTATAGAAGTGATGCTGTTATTATATGGACTAGAGTCTACAGATCTGGAGAGACCTACTGTATAATAATGTACCACAACATACAGGAGACACATCCTAGATCGGAGACGGAACACGGCTTCCACTGGATGCCTTCAATATTGCGCGCTGTGATGCAGTCTCCTTGGCAACGGCCGGTCGTTTCCCGGGTAACCCCAGCCACGGTTGCCATGGCACCACTGTTTCCTGGGTAACCTTCCAGATGGCCTGGGACTACCCTCTCCTATAGTCTCACAGAGAGGAGAGGGTTCTACACCTCTATCCACCTAGGAGTAGGAGACAATAGAGGAGGCCTGATGACAGAGAGCTTGCTGCTCACTCAAAGCTTTTAGAAGGCTTTCAGTGATACGGAACAAAACAATGTTGTGACAGACATCCTTGAAGCAAAGCCAGAGACAGACAGAGAACTGCTGGAGAGAAGAGCCAGAGACAGACAGAGAACTGCTGAAGAGAAGAGCCGGAGACAGACAGAGAACTGCTGAAGAGAAGAGCCGGAGACAGACAGAGAACTGCTGGAGAGAAAAGCCAGAGACAGACAGAGAACTGCTGAAGAGAAGAGCCGGAGACAGACAGAGAACTGCTGGAGAGAAAAGCCAGAGACAGACAGACAGAGAGGCAGGCAGGCAGGCAGGCAGACAGGCAGGCAG